GAATGATAAAGACATCAGTTTTGGCTTTGGCTGCCTGGGAAGTTCATGCTCGCGTGTGCTCACCACATGTACCCAGCTCCCCTCCGCAGTACCGTGCTGTAATTGTAACTGTAATTATTTTTAGTGGCTAATAAATTCGGTATAACACTGACCACGATAACTTATGACTTTCTGGGGATCATAAAATGCTTACAAATAAAAAGATAACAAAATGAGAAAATCGTAATTATACATCACGTTTTATAAGATGAAAACAGGAGGTTCCACTTTTTAAAAATGACGCCCTCGGGACACAGTTTACTGGAATTATATTCTAGTAGCCAATTCCCCTTCACCGCAGACACAACACTGCCAAGACACCACAATAAATGTAAATTAATTTCTAAGGGCTGAAGTGAGAGTGATAGAGTCGACGAACACTTAGCAAAGTCCAGGTAGGACAGCGTTAATTCAATGACCTTTCTCGTCTCTTTCTCTCTGACTGTGCTCGACCGAGGGTGACCTCATCGACCCCGCTCTAACCCCAAGAAATGCTTTATCATTATGACTTAAAAAAGAGGACTTAACAAATATAATAGAAAAATCTAAAAATAATAATAATAATATTTAAAAATAAGTTGTAGTCTAAAATTTGATATTAAATCTTTCCCGCTGATTTATAATATTTCAATGTGACGTCTTTCCAGAGCCTCTTAGATTATCACATTAAGTTTTAAAAAGGAACAACAAAAGTTATTATTTTTTTAGATTTAAAATAATTGAAATAATATATATGTGCAATAATAGTAAGATTAGGTCGTGTCCCGTTTTCTTCAGAATGTCTTCTCGAACATGGAGGGTAGGCTTTTCTATTACCAGCCACTCCGGGCAAGGATCTTATGACGATACTATGGCAGGAGTGGCCCGCCGTTGCAAATCTAAATGCGGGCCATTACAGTGTCACAATACATTTCTTACAGTTATTAAGGGAGATGGTCTTAACCCAAAACAATAGGCCAACTCTTAACGGAGACAAGGCACGACGGAGAGCCTGGGCTTCACCAACCCTCATGGTCGCCTAGCGCCAATGACTAAGCGGGCTACTTCGCTATGCTCTTCTGGCTCATTGAACTATTATGCGGTGACGTTTACTTCAGAAAGGTAGAGACAACTGCTGCCCATCGCCATGCCAGTAGTCTACATAACTTCTGAACAGATGAAATGTAGACTAAAGCACAGAAGAGTAACTCTATTGATGAGAGAAAAAAAGACGGTGACGTATATGTATGTGTCTGTGTTTGGGAAAAACAATACAGTAGAGTACAGTGATTTGGAAAGGACGCTGAAGAAAACATGCCACTCCCTGACGTGCCTCCATTGATAAAAAAAAGGATAAATATGTGAAAAAAAACATTTTCCTGGATTTACAGCATGCCATTATTTTGTTCTTGCCACCTTTCCGCACGGCACGTCGCCACTCTACAGCGCCTATACTGAAAAATATAATGGAATTAGCTAACAGCAACAACCATTCTTAGATTTATCAGCACTGATTTATCACAACTATTGACATTAATGAGGATGATCACGGTAACAATGATTCTCGTAATAATGATAATATTGATGGTAATATTATGAGCTTTCTTGTTATCAACATTATCATATTTCTTTGTTGTTATTGGTATTAACAGGAGTATCATTTTCTACACTATTGTCATTGTTATCAGAACTATAATTCTATTATCATTGTTATTGTCATTATTACTATAGACTGTGTAATGTGAATATGGATTTATATTTACATAACGCATACATACATATACATTTATGTATATGTATTATATGTACGTATATCAATATATACATATACACCATTATATTCATACATAACATATATACGTGTGTTCATACGTGCATATAGTTATCTGTAAGTATACACATACATCTGTATATACATATACATATATATGTCTGTGTATATGTATGTTCATGTTCATATGTTTTATATATACATATATACATACACTTGAAATGTTCAGGTTATCAAAGGAAAGTATGTAAATATCTAATACGTAAAATCATATTTATTTTCATGTTTCACACAACAGAGATGGATTTAGATCTCTTATCATTTCTGTAGATATTACAGATAGATAGCTAGAAAACTGCTTTCTTCCTAAAGCGCTAAGAATGATAAAAGATTGTTGAATTAAGTTCACCCCCACCCCCTCAACGTGGCTTTGGATCAGGTGTTTGATGACTAATGATCGATGGTGTAGGCACCCAACAGACAAGCACAGCTGGCGGGAAGCTTGAATGTCTCGATGGCGAAGGGGAAGTACTGATCATAGGGGTCGTACACAAGGAAGCGGTGGTAGATGGATTTCTGCAGACACTTGGACTCGTAGCACTCAGGCACCAGAGGACATGCATCGCCGGAAGTAAGACACTCTTCGATGCGTGTAGTCTGAGTGAAAGTCTGATAATGGGCATCGATATTGTTTACTACGACACGCCATTTTCCTTCGATGTTCTGTGCACGAAGGGGCCTGATGTAAGCGGTCTCTGATGGGCACAAGTAAGTTTCCTCATCCAAGGTGTTTGGTCGGTCCACAGACAGCTCGGTGTTGAGGTCGGCTACGTCAGCATAGAGGGAGAGGAGCTTCTGGTAGTGATACTCGGCTGCGTGTTTGATCTCGTAGGTGGGATAATGGTCATCTTCGAGACACCATGGTTTGGTTGTGTTGGCAGCACATTCTGGCACAGCAGGCTCGTGTTCATGTTCATAGGAAGGCTGTGGATGATAAGCGGGAGCAGGGTGGTAGGAAGGTTGTGTGTGGTAGGTAGGTTGATGGTATGAAGTGCGTGCGTGGTGAGAGGAGCTGTGATGACTGACAGCAGGAGCACCGCCGAAACTGATACTGACGTGAGAGGTCTGGTCGGCCACAACTGCGACCACTAAAGAAACCGAAACCTGCAAGAAAAAATGGTAAGCATTCTGATGAAGTGTGTATGTATTTTATACATGGCAATCCGTGTATGCACGTATGAACACAACCACACCTACTCATATGCGCTCATATAAATGTATTTCAGTTAATGTATCTCAGAACTTAATATGAACTCACCAAGTATCGTAAAGCCATGCTTGCACTCTCAGCTCTCGGTGCCTTCGAACTGTAGCGACCATGATAGTGGGCGTCCTTTATATAGGTACATCATCCCTCCTCCCCGCCCCCAACTATCCCAACTGCATCACCGAACCGTGAAAGTAATTTCATTTTGTTTAAATTATGATTTAAACGCTCCCCCGTATTTGTACTTTATTTTAAACTACGTGTATTATCTATGGTAACAAAGCACACAGAAAGAATGAATGTTTAAGTAGAACAAATAGAAAGGATAATACTTCTGGAACCGAATAATTACAGTGAAAGGTATCCTTGGGCCAGCCAAGACGTGTTTCCTTTCTCTGTCTTTGTGTTTGATTGCCAACTTCGTTATTTCAGCACAAGGTTTTCAACACATACATACATATTTAATATATGTTCGAATGTATATATGTATATGTGTCCAGAAATAACTATGTTGGCAAATATACACACACATATATACATACATACATATATCTGTGTGTGTGTGTGCAAGGATATATATATGTGTACGTGTGTGTGTAATGCATTACACACACATGTATATGTGTGCATTTCTAGTATATTGATGTGTGCGTTTGCGGGTATGTGTGTATTTATATACATATAAATATATATTTATATGTATACACATATATAAACATATATGTACATATATATATATATATATATATGTATATATACATGCACAGACATACATACATACATATGTAAATATATACATACTGTATACACAATTACATATACACGTATACAGATAAATGTTAGGGTGGGTGTGTATGTGTTAATCATTATATTAATGAATAAAACGTGATGAAAGAGAGAATATATAATACATATATTCTTTATTTTGTATCCCAGTGATTTTGTGATCTCTAACAGTCATATTCATCTCCGGATTGTGAAAACTGTTATAGACTGCTTGAGAATTTCTTATGTTAATCTATCGCATTGTGTGAACCATTGGTGTACTTAAGGGCAATTGGTTATGGGTCTCATTTCGACGGCTTTTAGTTTGTTTTTATTTCCTTTTTTGATATATTCACAATACATTATTATTGTAAATTTCCTTATATGAATAAGAAAGTCATAACGAGAATAAGCATTAACGTATTCACTGACATATAATATTGTTATGCCACTATTGATTTTTTTTCCTAATTTCGTTAGTACAAAATATTACGGTTCTATGATTACCTCATATATTAGTATTGTTATTGTTTTTATTTATACTATTATCATCAATATAATTTTCTTTATCTTGTGTTAACTTTCGCTAACATCTCCACCGTCAATCTACTTTTTTTGTTGTTGTTGTTTTACATTTATTACTGTAAACCATATCATTACTATTAACTTTATATCAAGTTATAGTTTTCTATTATTGCTGTTTTGTTATAGTTATTTTCTGGTGTTTTTTTCTGATTATAATAGTAACTATCTTCATTATCAATTTTTTTTTATATCCTTACTATTAGTAGTAGTGCTATGATAATCATTATAATTGCAAATAATGTTTTAATTAACATTACTTATGTCTTACTTTTCTAATGCTTTTTAACATAATAAACAAATAACATATGGCAAGGTGTAGATCACATATGAATGTTAAAAAATATATATATAAAAATATTACAATGGACGTCTCGCCTTCATCTTTTGCATGACTGAAAAGGGGCGAGACAGATTAACTGTGGGAGCAGAGCGTCCCGGCGGTTCCTGTCATGACTAGTGGTGGTACATGAAGAAAGCAGTTCTCTAGTCACGTGGGTGTCGAGAGAAGTGTCGGTGGTACACTGACTTCTGGGTACAGTGGCTCTGGTTGCAAGGGCGCGACAAGCAGCCTCTGGTACTTTTTGGCGAAAAGGTGATAAGCAGTGATGGCAGTCTTGATCTCGTACTCAGGATACTCAGTTTCTTCCAAGCAGTAGGAGAGAGTAGAGTTGTCAGCGCATGCGGGGGCAACAGTTGAGTGCTCATAGGTATGCTCGGGACCATAAGCAGGCGCATGATATCCGTAAGCAGGTGCATGATGACCATAAGTGGGCTGTGGGTGATGGCCATATGCAGGAGGATGGACGGAGCATAGAACGACTCCGACGCATACCAAACGACTGAATGGAAAGCAAAGATTAACATTAAAGTGAAAGAAGCTTTTCGCAAAGTCCAATTTCTTCAAAGAGTACAATACAGCCACCTTTAACTGGCAGTATTATCAAGTTACTAATGTAAGAGCCATGATGAAATGAGCAGATAGATGCGAGAATCGTTTCTACTGTTACCCATTTTGGCCACATCCAAGCACTACAAAGATGCGTGACTCCCAAGGTTAGAAAAGCGTGAAAGTGTATCGTTTCCTGACTCTGTCGCCATTACTTCCCCATTAGCACAAACACGCGAACTAATTCATTCCCTTCTCACCCTCCTAGGTCCTGGAAAGACAGAAGTAGCTAAGATATACACACAATCACGTTTATAAATGCATAAAAACACATAGTTACATATATACACATATGTGTGGACAGGTTTAGGTGTGGATGTTTATATGAATACATACATGAATATTTTCACACTACATGTATATATACGTATAATATGCATGATATATATGCAGGAAGGGGCGAGGGTGGGTGGGACAAGCGAAGTGAACAAGAAGACTAGAAAAAATACTTATTGCAAGGGTATCTTTGTGCTATAACTAGACTTCTGTAGATATACATCATTAAATACAAGTTTTTGTCCTTCGTGAGGGCAAGCTAGACCTCCAGCCATCCCCTAATTGAAGCCTCTGTGTATATATATGTATATATATTTGTGTTTGTATATATGTATACATATGTTTAATTTGTATGCATATACACATATATATATATGTTTAATATATATATATATATGTGTGTGTGTGTGTGTGTGTTTAATATGTATATATATCTATATTTACATATGGATACATATATAAATGTATACACACAATAATACACACAAAACATGTATTGCAGCTATATTAACATCTATGCTATATATATTCATATATATATGTATATATGTGTGTTTGTGTGTACGTGAACACAAACAGTATACATAGATATGTATCCCATTTATATATATTTGCTTATTGATCTATCGATAATTCATCCATATATATTTTTACATAATGATATGGATATTCACTGATGCATACTGTCAGTCATTATATGGATATATGTATGTATGTAATTATGTATTCATATATGTATATATGTACAGTATATATATATTCATATGCAAATATGATATTATATATCTATATATACACATCAAACTCACACAGACAAAAACCGACACACATACGTACATATACACAAAGGACACATACACATACATACATATGTACACACAGACACGCGCACAAACTCTCATATGTATATATATATATATATATGTGTGTGTGTGTGTGTGTGTGTGTCTGTGTGTGCTTTGAGCATGCACGTGTATACTCTGAAGTCCGATAATTCATCTGAGAGAAATGAGCAGAAAACCTTTTCAGGCTACGAGCGTGAACGATAAAGCGATTAGTTTTAGGTCTGGCTGCTTGGGAGGCTCACGCTCGCGTGTGTTAAACACATGTACCCAGCTACCCTCCGGAGTATCATGCTGTAACTGTAATTTCTTTAAGGACTAAGAAATTCAGCATAACACTGATCACGGTAACTTGTAGGAGTTACTGAGTTCCATAAAGTGGGCCTGCGTACTGGAGAAATTAGTAAAAGGACCGGAGTGAGGAAACAGCCAGCCACCTCATCAGTTCAAGGCCAAGTTCAAAGGGAAGGGAATTGCCACAGGCCAAACGACGGAAACATGCCCGAGGTGTCCAATAGCATAATTATAATGGTCTGTAGCCGACGGTTGGAGAGTTAAGCAACCCTGGCAGCCGGGTAAGGTAAATAACAGAGCGCCAAACCCGGCGAGTGCCATAAGGTGGGTCTGCATATTGGAAAAGGGTAAACCGAGAGGAAAAAGTCATTCACATTATCGCCAAGTTCAAGGGGAAGGGATCCACCACAGGGGAAGCGGTGATAGTCGCATGCCCAAGGTGTCCATTAGAATAATTGTAATATTCTGAAGACAACAGTTAAAGTGTTAACCAACCTTGACAGCTAGGGAAAGTAAGGCACAAAGCCCTAAACTCTATGAACCAGTATTCATATGAGTACACACTCATATATATGTATGTGTATATATATATGCATATACACACACGCGGGTGTGTGTACATATATATAAGTGAAAATATATATATACAAATGTGTGTATACGTATATATATTTATATATATACACAAACGCACATATGTATGTATATATACATACATACATATACATCCGTTCATATATATACATATGTATATCTATGTACACAACATATATGTGTATGTGCATATACATGTACAAATACCTGTATATGAGAATGTTTTCCATCTTATGACAAATGAGAATGAATATCGAGTTCTTTTTTCTTACTCATGTACATCGTTTAGCTGCTTGTAGGTCAAATTAAAAAGAAATATGAAAAGAAAGGTTTAAGTGAATCTCAAATAAACCCCTACTGCAAAATCCTTAGAAAACAAAACGTCAAACGAAACACATTACGTATTATGTACCTCATGATATGCATATTGGAAAGGTTATTGAAATCTAAAATTCATATTTTTTCATGTTTCACAAGAGAAGGTATTTTTATGTTATTTGAAATCAGTTATCATTTCTGTCGATGTTACCACAGCAAGATGACTAAACAACAGATTTCTTCACGCATTCGACGGCTTTTCATGGGAGATCTGTATTCACTTCTGTTACCAGGACGCTAATGATAAAATGTTGAATTAATTTTGAACATTTCCCCCTAATATACCTTGAGATCAGGTGTTTGATGACTAATGATCGATAGTGTAGATAGCTGACAGACAAGCACAGCTGGCGGGAAGCTTGAATGTCTCGATAGCGAGGGGGGAGTACTAACTATAGGGGTCGTAGACAAGGAAGCGGTGGTAAATGGACTTCTGCAGACATTTGGACTTGTAACAGTCATGCATCGATGGAAATGAGGCTCTCTTCGATGCGTATAGTCTGAGTTAGAGTCTGATAATGAGCATCGATATTGTTTACAACGACACGCCATTTTCCCTCGGTGCTATGTGCACGAAGGGACCTGCCGTAAGCGGTCTCTGATGGACACAAGTAACTTTCCTCATCCAGGGTGTTTGGTCGATTTCCTCATGCGTGGTGAGAGGAATTGTGATGGCTGACAGCAGGAGCACCGCCGAGATTGATGCTGACGTATGAGGTCTGGTAACTGTATCTTTTCGTACAGAGACATAATTTCATCACGACTGTTAACTGCTGACTGTTAACACCTATTTATAATCCCACTATTGATACATCTAGATATACTGTATATGTATATATATATATATATATATATATATATATATGTGTGTGTGTGTGTGTGTAATGATTACTTTTCTTATCACCATCACTATGTTTGTTTGTTTTTCACAGAATTAATTACTAATATAAGCCATGTCATTATTCCTTATAGTTCTTATCAGTTCTAATTCTTATTCTTATGATAAGACATATCATTATAATCAATTACATTCCTATTCTATTACTGTCATTATCTTAATCATCATAATTACAATTATCATCATTGCAGTTGGTGCTGTAATTATTAGTAATTATTTTTCTTCTAATGACTATTAAAAAATCAACTAATAATTACGTGCCAAGGAGTAAGAAATCACATAGATATGTTCAATGATTATGTTTATGTCTTTACAAAAAGAATATTACAGCTGATTTCTCGCACGAGTGAAGTAAAGAGGAAACTAAAAAGGGGGGAGAGAGCAGCGATGGGAGCTTCCCGGCGATTTCTGGCATGCCTAGCGGTACGTGGAGAAAGCAGTTATCCAATCACGTGGGGTTTTCTCCTCCGTTTTAAGAGCTAACAGGGATTGTCGGTGGTTCCGTGGTGGCAATGGAGTGTTACATGATGTGTGAAGAGGTGATTCGTTAAGAAGCGTTGTGGTGGCGTGTTAGGCGGGAAGGTGACAGGAGCAGGCAGATGGCATCTTGTAGATGTCGATGAACAGGCCCTTGTAGGGGTCACATGGATCGTAGGAAAGGAGTCGGTGGTACACGGACTTCTGGGTGCAGTGGCTCTGGTAGCAAGGAGCAAGGGCGCGGCAAGCAGCCTCTGGGAACAGACAAGTTTCGAGGCGAGCAGTTTGGCTGTAATAGTGAACGTCGTTCACAATGACGCGCCACTTCCCGTCGACATTCTGAGCACGCTTGGGCATGGCATAGACCACTTCGGAAGGACAGATGTAACCCTCAGGACCAGCCCAGTGTGTGGCATCGTAGGGAGAGTCCCCAGTGGAGGCTCCAGTGTAGTAAGAGTAGTCGAAGGCCTCCTCCTGGTCCTTGGTAACCATGTCTACCAGGTCATCAGCAGATTGGTCGGCAACATCAGCGTACTTCTTGGCGAACAGGTGATCGGCAGTGATGGCAGCCTTGATCTCGTACTCAGGATACTCAGTGTCTTCCAAGCAGTAGGAGAGAGTAGAGTTGTCAGCGCATGCAGGGGCAACGGTTGAGTCGCAGTAACCGTGGCCGTAGGCATGTTGGTGGCCGTAAGCAGGTGCATGATGACCATAAGCTGGCTGTGGGTGATGGCCATATGCTGGAGGATGGACGGAGCCCAGAACGGCTCCGGCGCATACCAGAACAACCGACTGAAAAGCAAAGATTAACAATGAAATAAAATAAACATATCGTGATGACCAAACTCTTCAGATAATACAGTGAAGACAGCTTTAACTGACAGTATTGTAATGACTTACCAACGTAAGAACCATGGTGACACGAGTAGATAGATAGGAGAATCGCTTCTACTGTTACCCATTCGTCATCATCGAGATTATATACTCCAGGTATGCTTTGGCCACGCCCACTCAGTACGAAGGTGAGCGACTCCAAGGTTTGATCTACGTGAAAGTGTATACACGCAGAGAAATAAGTAAATCTAAACATATGTGTATATCTACGTACATCTATATACATATATATGTATGCAAACATTTACACACATTGTACACTCATATATAAAATATTTGCTTAGAAACGTGGACAGACACTTCCGCATGTATTCAGTTTTGTGTGTACAGGTATAAGTTCGAAGAACTAGGTATAAAACTAAACTTATAATACGCTTGCTTCACTTTCACACATACATATACTACACAGAAATCTACATACATGTATACACATATATTTGTGTGTATGTATATCTGTTAGTCATGTACTATGTTTATTCAGATAATTTTCATAAATTTCACCAATTATTTAACTGCACAGATTGGCAGTGTTGATGCGTTACTCTCAGGTATGACTAATGTTTGATTTGTTTTCCCTTCCCCGAATCATGTGCAAACTAAAGGGGTGCTGCCAAAAGCAGATAAGTATATCCACAACCTGAATGTGACTGTTTTAATGGTTACGTAAGCGTTAATGAATAGTGAGGAAAAAGACTACGCGTGCGTGGCGTGTAGTGTTCGTGCATGTGTTCAGAACTCTGGTAGCGTGTTATGGCCGGAGAGACGTGTTATTACCAACGTAAGAACCATGGTGACACGAGTAGATAGATAGGAGAATCGCTTCTACTGTTACCCATTCGTCATCATCGAGATTATATACTCCAGGTATGCTTTGGCCACGCCCACTCAGTACGAAGGTGAGCGACTCCAAGGTTTGATCTACGTGAAAGTGTATACACGCAGAGAAATAAGTAAATCTAAACATATGTGTATATCTACGTACATCTATATACATATATATGTATGCAAACATTTACACACATTGTACACTCATATATAAAATATTTGCTTAGAAACGTGGACAGACACTTCCGCATGTATTCAGTTTTGTGTGTACAGGTATAAGTTCGAAGAACTAGGTATAAAACTAAACTTATAATACGCTTGCTTCACTTTCACACATACATATACTACACAGAAATCTACATACATGTATACACATATATTTGTGTGTATGTATATCTGTTAGTCATGTACTATGTTTATTCAGATAATTTTCATAAATTTCACCAATTATTTAACTGCACAGATTGGCAGTGTTGATGCGTTACTCTCAGGTATGACTAATGTTTGATTTGTTTTCCCTTCCCCGAATCATGTGCAAACTAAAGGGGTGCTGCCAAAAGCAGATAAGTATATCCACAACCTGAATGTGACTGTTTTAATGGTTACGTAAGTGTTAATGAATAGTGAGGAAAAAGACTACGCGTGCGTGTAGTGTTCGTGCATGTGTTCAGAACTCTGGTAGCGTGTTATGGCAGGGGAGACGTGTGCGTCTCGCTCGCATAGCGGGCTCAACGAAAACCTCCGTGGAAAGTTAAATCTTAGTAGAGTCTCATGATAAACTAGTATCACGAAATAAACAAAGATCGTATGTGGGCAACACTGCGTACTGTACGACCTTGAGATTGCCTGCGGCGGTGTAACGTTTTCTATTCATTCATTCATTTTCTTCACCCTCATTTACAAAAGTCTCTTTTCCCTTTTAGTTTAACATTTTTTCACATTCCCCGATCGTTCAACTATTTTCATCCGTATCGTACGTTTCTTATTTACAAGACCTTATTACATTTATATGTTTATAAGCAATACTATTATTGGTGATTGAAACAAAAGCAGTATCTCATAATACAATTACACTTTTATTGACGTAAAACACAAAATGAAAAACACAATAAAATTAATTGACTTTCTGGGATCATAAAATACATACATACATACACACGAAAAGATAAACCCAATGAGAAAATCATAATCAAACTTCGCGTTTTACAAGATGAAAAGTCGAGGCTCCACTTTAAAAACAAATGACGCACTCGGGACACAGTTTACCGGAATTATATTCTAATAGCCAATTCCCCTTGACCGCAGACACAACACTGTCACGACCCCACAATAAAGGCAACTTAATTTTGTAAGGGCTGAAGTGAGAGCGCTCCCCTGGAGTCGGCGAACACTTAGCAAAGACCAGGTAGGACAGCGTTCATTTAATGATTGCTTCCCAAATCCTCACAACCTGACCTCTGCTCGCTGCGCTCTCTCATCTTTCTCTCTCTGACCGCGTTCGATCCCGCTTTTAACCCCAGGCAATGGTCTCATTATGCCTAGAAAACGAACTCTATAAGAATCCCGTTAACAAATATAATAGTAAAATTTTTAAAAAAAAATCTTAATCTTTTAAAATAAGTCTAAAAATGAATATAGCTTTCCCGCTGATTTATAATATTTCAATGTTGCATATTTCTGGAGCCTCATAGATTAACATGATGAGCTTTAAAAAGGAACAATAATAGTTTATTCTCTTTTATTTAATAATTGAAATAAAATATACGTGCACTATTAGTAGGATTAGGTCCTGTCCCGTTTTCTTCAGAATGTCTTCTCGAACATGGAGGGTAGGCTTTTCTATTCCCAGCCACTCCAGGCAAGGATCTTATGACGATACTATGGCAGGAGTGGCCCGCCGTTGCAAATCTAAATGCGGATCATTACAGTGTCACAATACATTTCTTGCAGTTATGAAGGGAAATGGTCTTAACCCACAACATTAAGGCAACTCTTAACCGAGACAAGGCACGACGGAGCGCCAGGGCCTCACCAACCCTCACGGTCGCCTAGCGCCAGTGACTAAGCGGGCTATTTCGCCATGCTCTTCTGGCTCATTAAACTATTATGCGGTGACGTTTACTTCATAAAGGTAGAGACAACTGCTGCCCATCGCCATATCAGTAGTCTAATTCCTTCTGGACAGATGAAATGTAGACTAAAGCACAGAAGAGTGACTTCTGAGAGAGAGAGAAAAAAAAAGACGGTGATGTATATGTATGTGTCTGTGTTTGGAAAAAAAAATACAGTAGAGTACATTGATTTGGAAAGGACACGGAAGAAAACATGCCAGTCGCTTACGTGGGTCCGTTGATTAGAAACAAAAATCATATGTGTGAAGAAAAGCATTTACAGGATGCCATTTGTTTGTTCTTGCCACCTTTCCGCACACGTCATTACAATGCTCCTTATTAAAGAATCGCCACTCTAAGCACATTTTATATATATTTATGGCGAAAATATCCAGATATTTTCCCTACAGTGTCTACAGTGAAAAATGTAAATGGAATTTCCTAACATCAATAATTCTTACATTTATCAGCACTGATTTATCATTATATCACAATTATTTACATTAATAATGAGGATGATCACAGTAACAATGATAATCGTAATAATGGTAGTAATCATGATGGTAATATGAGCATAATTTTCATCAATATTATTATATTTCTTTGTTGTTCTTACTGGTATTAACAGGATTATCATTTTCAGCACTATTATCATTGTTATCAGACCTAATTTTCATATTGTTATTACCTTTATTAATATATTTATATTTATATAGTGCATACATACATATATAGATTTATGTATGTGTGCGTGAATATAAATATACATATATGTATGTATGCAATACATATATAATTTTACACTATTATGTACACACATAACATATGTGTGTGTGCATATATACTTATATGCGTGTATGCACATAAATATATATGTCTAGTTCATATATTATATATATACATGTATACATATAAATATAAGCATTTATATATGCATAAACATGCAAAAACATAACATATATTCAAGTTATCACAAGGAAAGTATGTAAATATTTAATACGTAAAGTTATATTTATTTTCATGTTTCACAAATGCGAGGGATTCAGATCTCATAATTTCTGTAGATATCACAAATAGATGGCTAGAAAATTGCTTTCTTTACGTACTTTACTTTACGATTTTCCATGTCCGGTATGCCTTGTTCCTTGGGCGCGAAAATGTTTAATTAAGTTCACCCTCACCCCTCAAAGTGACTTGAGATCAGGTGTTTGGTGACTAATGATCGATGGTGTAGGCACCCAACAGACAAGCACAGCTGGCGGGAAGCTTGAATGTCTCGATGGCGAAGGGGAAGTACTGATCATAGGGGTCGTACACAAGGAAGCGGTGGTAGATGGACTTCTGCAGACACTTGGACTCGTAGCACTCAGGCACAAGAGGACATGCATCGCCGGAAGTCAGACACTCTTCGATGCGTGTAGTCTGAGTGAAGGTCTGATAATGGGCATCGATATTGTTTACAACGACACGCCATTTTCCTTCGGTGTTCTGTGCACGAAGGGGCCTGACGTAAGCGGTCTCTGATGGACACAAGTAAGTTTCCTCATCCAGGGTGTTTGGTCGGTCCACAGACAGCTCGGTATTGAGGTCGGCTACGTCAGCATAGAGGGAGAGGAGCTTCTCGTAGTGATGCTCGGCTGCGTGTTTGATCTCGTAGGTGGGATAGTGGTCGTCTTCGAGACACCATGATTTGGTTGTGTTGGCAGCACATTCTGGCACAGCAGGCTCGTGTTCATGCCCATAGGAAGGTTGTGGGTGGTAAGCGGGAGCAGGATGGTAGGAAGGTTGTGGATGGTATGAGGGCTGCGTGTGATAGGTAGGTTGATGGTGGTATGAAGGGCGTGCGTGATGAGAGGAACTGTGATGGCTGACAGCAGGAGCACCGCCGAGACTGATGCTCACGTGTGAGGTCTGGTCGGCCACAACTGCGACCGCCAAAGAAAGCGAAACCTGTAACATAGAATATGGTAAGATTTGTGTATATTGATAAACCTAGTATCCGTAATGTGTGGTATTTCCTGTGCGTACTTATAATCGTACACACGTTCACATTTACACGCGCATATATATATATGTGTGTGTGTG